GCCGTTGCTGGAACGATTGAAGGCACGGCTGGGCGACTGACTGTACGCTGGTCAAGGACGGAGACATGGACTGCACAATGACCGCCATATTTGTTGGAAGTTAAGGCAGAGCGGAGACTAAGGGAGGCGAAGATGGTGGTGGTTGTATGGTGTGGACTGAACTTCAGCATTTCCCACAATTAGCAGCTATGGTGCATTGTTGAGCCAGGAAACTGATTGCTAGGGAGGCTGTGCGACGGGATAAAAGTGGTGCGGTCGGTGGTGCTGTTACGGCTGGAGTGAGGCTTGGCTAGGTGGGCCAGGAGGAGAAGCTGCTTTGGGGTTTCAATTCAAACTGGCTGTCTTTCTTCTGGGACGTTTACCTGGATTGCCTCGAGTGGAGCTGTTTATGAACAGCCCTGTCTTGCCCCACTGCGACCTAAAATGCCGTCCAGGTTGATTTCCACGCAGCTGTGACCAGTTTTGTTGGTTTCAGTCTATGTTCTGAAAATCTTTAGCGAAATTACCAGACTGGACTTCCAGTTGCGTTCTCAGCGTGAAATTCTCATAATCGATTCTCCGTCGATTGGGACAATTATGCCAATGTGTCTGGTCTCACTGGATAGAAATCTGATTCTCGTACGAAATAATACCCTCTATTTAGCAGAGTCTTCCCATCCGCCACCTTGCCAAATGGAAGAGTGTCTCAAGAAGGAACCCTGGTCCCAAACCGAAAGAAACCCCCATGCAGGTGGTAGTTTTTTCTGTTCATGGGACAGCTAGCATTCCTTGGAAAGCTGGAACTGCAAAGCGTGTCAATGATTCGTCTGACTGGGAGAACGGTAGGTTCTAAGCTGGAAGCTGTGGGTCAGCAATCAACCGCGTGGTTCTAGATCAACGTGATTGGTGGCATACGTCGAACACCGTCACTCATGTGCATTTCATACGTCGGATTCGGTCACATGCACGTGAAGAATTGAGCGGCAGCACGAAATTCGAACAGATTCGCACAGTTGGCAGTGGAGCTCGCGACGTTCGAAGAACCCAGAGCTTGGCTTCTAAGAAGCCATACAACTCGGTTTGACCCCATGACAAGGATCAATCACAAGCTAATTGTACAAAACAGCACATTTGTAAACGGCTTATACAAGTGACATACGCTATAGGTTTCATGTGACATTGGCATCGGGTACCAAGCATAAATATTAAATAACTCTAAAATTCACAATAATATATATATATATATGTTATTATAAATTTATATGGTGTATTTGGCTAAAGGAGGACGTTTGTACAGGTGCAAATATTTTTACAGGTGATTCAACATAGAATATAGAGAATATAGATTTAGTACACCTGCAAGTGAAGGGGACATGCGTTTACTCACTGTCTTTGTATAGCTAATGCTCTTGTGGGTGCTCGCGCCATCCCACTGACTCTGACAACCAAATTCAAACTTTGGCGGGAGACCCTCGAAGCCACTACAGTCTGGCGCGCGGTTCCAGCCTTTCGCCGTTTTCCCAAAAGAAGCACCCAGCAACACGACACCACACCACATCCAACCAAAAAACTCCTAGTTCGCTACCACCTTGCCTGCTCCCCCAAGCCAAACCTTTAGCTTTAGGGGTCGTTCCTCGCCCTGCTTCCAGCTCCAGGCCCGTCAAACTTTAACCGAACCAGCAATGGCAGTCTCGAGGGGAATTCTCTGTCAGACTTTGGGGAACTCGCAGCAATTTGGCCGACTCGAGCTCAAACAACCTTCTAGCCTGCACATGTGTGTTTGAAATTCTGATTTGGAAGAGCTCACCATCACCCTGTCACCTGATCGCTACTTCGAGTTCCCACGATTTTCCGATTCTAGAGTCTGCGTGTTTCTGGTTCGAGTAGGACGCAGGGCTGTCCTTGTAAGCACATTGTGTCTGAAAATAACAACGCGGGACATGTGATAGAAATACTAGGCTCTATTGGAAATTCAAGCAAGTCAGCGTCCTGGAAAATCCCATTATCAGTCAAGGCCCACGACGCAGCGCTAGCCGTGATTCACCGATGAATATGTCACAAAATCGATATTACTGAGCAATACCTCCTCGTTTAGGCGATCAGCAGCAATGACGAATTCCGCCAGCAAGCAGATGGGGAAGTCGCCAGCATTGAAACCGCGACCTCTCAGTTCCTCCATTAGCCCTCGGAAGGATTCGCGTGGCGGTGTAGCAAGCCCTAGAAAGGGGATCCTTTCGACTGGCAGTGGTAGAAGCTCACGTGGGGAAACGAGGAACGGAGCTGAGAAGGAGAACAGCAACGGCGGGAAGAACGGTGAGCGGAACGGCAGCAGGTCAGCTGCACCACCAGCAGCAGCAGCAGCATCAAAAGCTTCCGATCGTCCTTTGAACCGGGGTTCTGCTTTCGCTGGTGGGAACGGCAAGACCCAGCAGCAGACGAACGAGAATCGACGGAACTGTGTGAACGAAGACCAGGACGGCCATCGAGAAAACGGACGGAAACAGACTGAAAACCGTCTGGTCGGAGAAGAGGGGAGGTGTGGAGCAAGCGAGGGGGGATGTATTCTTCAGGAGATGAATGGATCAGCCTACGTTCAGCCGTTTCAGGAATCTCAGGTTGTAGAATCTCAAGAAAGCGGAATAGGGATCAACGCAGGGATAAGCTCCGGTGGTAGATTTATCGCGGAGCAGGCTGACGTGGCAAGGGTGGATCCGCCGAGGCAGTTATCGCAACCGGCAGGTGAATCAGGGATGGTTCTTAGCGGGAACCGGAGGTTATTGCAGCGGGGAGATGTGTCGGCGAAGTGGAGGAGACCGTCGCTGAAGTTGCACGTGCCGTCGCAGGCGACGGCGTTGGCGACGTCACTGAAATTCCGGCGACGCCGCCGGCGTCGCATCGACCGCCGAACCTGACCCCGCTTATCGTATACGAAGACTCGCCGTCGCTCGCCTTCAGCATATCCCCCTCTCCTTCGCTCTCCCCTTCACCCTCCTCCTCTCCCATACTTCCGCACCTCTCCGTAGCACCTCCTGTCCCTCCTGCCCCTCCTACCCCTCTCGACACGTCAGCTCCTAATCCCAATGAGCACTCTCAACTTAAAGAGGCCTCGCTGGTCGTCCTGAATCCTATGAACTGGGTCGCTTCCCCGACGCCGCAGGCAGATTGCGCTCTAGACGGTCTGCAACCCCCGCAATTGCCGGCGGAAAACCCGCAGCCAGTGGCAGCTGCTTCCCGTGCCGACGTTCCTGCTGATGCAAACGCAGTATCCTGCGAAGCTTCGCAAGTGCCTCCTCCGGTATCCCAACAGGTGCCTCATCAGGTAACGAGCAACCGGGGGTGCGATCCGCATGGAAGCGCTGTTTCCGCCGTGGACTCCGCTGCCTCTGCGTCAGCGAATCCAACGGCTAGTTCAGCGGCAAATTCGCTGGCGAATCCAGCGGCGAATCCACCCCGCCCGCGGCTCGTGCGATCCTCCTCCTCCGACTCCTTCCATCCGCCCGCCTCACTCGGCGACGCGCCTCATAACGCGACACGACGGTTCCCTCATCATGCCGCTACCCCCGGCACCCCTACAGCCCCCAGCGCCGCCGCCGGTCGCCTGTCGCCGCGCCTCGGCTTTAATTTCTTTTCAAGAGGCCACGCCAACGCGTCCCCCTTGCGCTTCCGCGGCCGAAACACAGGCGGCGGCGGTGGCGGCGGTAGAGGCGGCGGTGATGAGAATTCCGCTGTTGTGGGAGGTGATAAAAGCGGGATCGGTACCGGTATGAAGTGTGACTTAAGGGAGGGGAGCGGCGTGGATTCTAGGTGGGATGGGTGGGAGGGGGTAACTCAGGGACAATCGCCGTCGCCCTTGTCGCCTTCGTTTGAAGCGCATCAGAAGCAGTCGCAGGGACGGTCGTCGTCGCCGTGGTCGCGAGGGCTCAGCAGAGTTCGCGGACTGGTGTCGCCGAGAAGGGGTAGGAAGCACGATGATGCTGGTGGTGCGGGTGGTACAGCTGGTGGTGCGGGTGGTACAGCTGGTGGTGCGGGCGGTGCGGTTGGTGCTGGTGGCGGTGGTGGTGGTGGTGGTGGTGGTGGTGGTGGTGGTGGTGGTGGTGGTGGTGGTGGTGGTGGTGGTGGTGGTGGTGGTGGTGGTGGTGGTGGTGGTGGTGGTGGTGGTGGTGGTGGTGGTGGTGGTGGTGGTGGTGGTGGTGGTGGTGGTGGTGGTGGTGGTGGTGGTGGTGGTGGTGGTGGTGGTGGTGGTGGTGGTGGTGGTGGTGGTGGTGGTGGTGGTGGTGGTGGTGGTGGTGGTGGTGGTGGTGGTGGTGGTGGTGGTGGTGGTGGTGGTGGTGGTGGTGGTGGTGGTGGTGGTGGTGGTGGTGGTGGTGGTGGTAGTGGTGGTGGTGGTGGTGGTGGTGGTGGTGGTGGTGGTGGTGGTGGCGCCGATTGTGTGGTGGAGCAAATGGAAAAAAACAGGACCGCTGCTGCTACTGTTCCTTCTGCTTTTTCTGCTTCTCCTGCTCCTGCTTCAGCGCTTCCCGAGCCTCACCGCCGAGGCTTGGGATCGCCGAGGCTGCGGGCGTGGCTTGGGTCTCCAGAAGTGCCGATGCTGCCGCTGCGGCGCGGCCTTGGCGTGAGATGGCACCGAACCTCGTCTGCTTCGGTGGTAACCCCAACCACCGGTACCATGCCAGTTACCACCACCACTAGCCAGGTCAATACACATAATCCCAGTGCTGATGTTTCCACTAGCAGCAACGCCGGCCCATACACAAATATGACCGTTCCTAATTTTAGTAACCCTGCTATTTCTAGCAGCAGCACCAGTGCGTTCTCCAGTGCGGGCAGCAGGGCGAGAGCTGCTGCGAGCTCAGACGCAGAGTCTGCGAGACACGTGCGTCCACTGGGGGGAACGGCTTTACAGAGTACAGATTTACATCTTCACCCGTCTGCCTCTTCTGCTGCTGGGTCTGCTGCTGCTGGCAAGTCTGTTGCTGCCTCGTCTGCTGCGTCTGCTTCGGCTGCTTCCTCCTCTCTTGCAGCGGCTGCTGCGGCGGCCATTGCGGAGTACAACGCGCTCGTGGAGCAGAGCCTCGAAGCAGCGCCTGATAAAACACCTGAAGAAACACCTGGAGAGGGAAGGGCGCCCGTGCCTACGTGCACGACGCACGATGGCGCAACAGGGCTCATTCGTCCGCATGTGCCTCTACCCCAAAAGGTCCTATCGCGAACAGTGTCGGATCCAGGGGGTGGTAACCCTGCCGTTACGGAGCAAGGTGGCAAAACGGCTGTAGCGGCAGGTGGTGAGGGTGAGGGCGGTGCCCTTAATGGGGAAGGTATGCAGGGTGGGAATAATGGTGGCAGTGGTGGTAACACTAGTGGTGGTGGTGGTGGTGGTAGTGGTGCCGGCGGCGGTAGTGGTGGGGGGCTGTTAAAGTGGCTATCGTGGGGCAAGGCAAAGCTAGGCGGAAAGGGGAACTCTAAGCGGCGGAAGGGGAAGGAGGAGCAGCAAGGCAGTTGCGAGGAGGGGACGAAGGGGCGCGCTGCGGAGGAGATTAAGGGGCAGGTTCGTGGTAGTGAGGCGAGGGGTGGCTGTGGCGGTGGTGGCGGCGGTGGTGGTGGGGGCAGTGGTGGTGGTGATGCAGGTGGAGTGGGGGTTGGATGGGTAGGTGCCGGTAGTGGTGTTATCGTCGGTGGTGGTGGCGGTGGTGGTGGCACTGGTGATGTTGGTGGTGGTGGCACTGGTGATGTTGGTGGTGGTGGTGGTGGTGGTGGTTCCTTCTCTGCTGCGAGCGCCGCTTCAAGAGCTACTTTGGGCACGTGGCTGCACGAGAACGAATTGGATGAGGATGGGAATGACGTGGAGGATGCTGACGTGGAAGGATTAGGTGATGATGAGGTGGAACAGAGGGCTGCGGAACAGGGGGGAATGCTGGGTGAGGAGGAGGGGGAGAAGAGGGAGGAGGAAGAGGAGGAAGAGATGGAGGAAGAGGAAGCGGAGGAGGAGAGGGAGGAGGAGATGTGTGTAGCAGAGGTGGAGGATGAAAAAGGTGAAGGGCGCTCGTCTGTTGGACAGTGCGAAGAGAGAGAGGAGAGGGAGGAGGGAGGAGAGAGGGAAAGAGAGTGGGAGGAGGAGGGAGATGGGGAAGGGAAGGGGAAGGGGAAAGGGGAGAAGGAGGGGGAGGGGGAGAGGGAGAGGACGGAGGAAGGGGAGAGTAGTGGTGTGGTGGGAGTGGGTTCGGAAGGGTTTCACTTCGACGTGTCCTGCAACCAGGCGGAGGCGGAGGAGGGGACTATTAGTGCTGTAACTGCTAGAACTGCTGAAAAAGCCTTTGGAACCGAAGCTCTGTCAACCAGAGGTTTGAATGGTACAGGAAGTGCTCTCGAGAAAGGTGGAGAGGAGGAGGGCGTGAAGGAAGAGGAGGAGAAGAAGGGGGTAGAGGAGGAGGGAGAGGAGGAGGAAGAGGAGGAGGAAGAGGAGGAGGAAGAGGAGGAGGAAGAGGAGGAGGAGAGGGACTCGGAGGAGGAGTTGAGGGAGAGGCAGCAGCAGGAGTGGCAGCGGCAGTGGCAGCTGCAGCAGCGGCGGATAGGCCTAGTGGTGACAGGCGGGGAGGATACAGCAGGGGGTGGTACCAACGGGGGGCGTAGCAGCAGAGGGGGCAGCAGCGGAGGGGGCAGCAGCGGAGGAAAAGGGCAGGGAGCTAGTGTAAGGGGTGCTGAGACGTCTCAAAACTCGAATGTTTGGGGTACAAGGCAATCTGCGCCCGCATCCCCAGCACGAGACGACTCGTGTGTGTCGTTTGCGCAGTGGGTGCATCTGCGCGGTTCCCCCTCCCGCGGTTCCCCCTCCCGCGCCTCCTCCGCCGCGCACAGCCCCGCGCCCGGGCTCCCCATGCGCGCGTCCGCCGCGGGCGCGCGCGCAGCAGCTGCTGCTGCAGCCGCGCGCGCAGCAGGCGCTGGCGCGTCTGGCAGGGGAGTGGGCGGAAACGGGGGGCGGAATCGCGCAGGGGGAGCTACAGGAAGCGATTCTGTCGGTTGGGAGAGCAGAGGAGGAGGGAGTGTGGGGGGGAGTGAGGAGGAAGGGAGTGTGTTTTTCGAGTCGACTCCAAAATCAGCTCTTTTCTCGGAGAATCAGGACGAGGGGGTGGGGAAGGAGGGAGAAGAGGAGGCAACGAGCATGCCTGTTGCAGCAGCAGTAGAGGGAACCTCACCACCACGAGCAGTTGCAGCAGCAGCATCAACAGGAGAATCCTCGGCTGCTGCAGCAGCGGCAGCAGTTGCAGCAGCAGCAGCAGCAACAGCCCCAGCAGCAGGAGAATCCTCAGCTGCTGCAGCAGCAGCAGCAGCGGGGACGGCAGCAGCAGGAGGAGCAGCAGCAGCATCAGTGCTGCTGGCGGCACTGAAGCAGACGGCAGCGGAGGAGCAGCGGAAGGGGATGGGCGTGAGCAGCAGTGTGACCTTCCTCCCCCTCCGCGCCTCCTCCCCACTTGCTAGACCCAAGCAAGCCCACGAGCAGGCGCAGACAGAAACGCGGATCCAGGCGGAATCAGAGGTTGAAAAGCTTAGTACTGTGGTTACCAGCAACCAGAGGGATTGTGGTTACGGTAACCAGATTAGTGATGGTAACCAGGGTAATTGTGCTAATCCGTTTGCTGAAATGCCCTCCGCCCCCTTTACAAGCACCAACCCGTTCCTGTGCAACAGCGACTCTTTTGGAGACAAGTCAGGCAAGGGCAGCTGTGGGGAATACGGTGCTGGCGGCTTTGGCGAAGTGGGAAGCGAAGTTGCTGGTTACCCTGTTATGCTACCTCACATTGACACTCCTGGAATCGTCAACACGAATCCGTTCGCAGCAGCAGCTGCAGCAGAGGCCGAGCAGGAGCATACGTGGCAGGCGCAACTGGGGCAGGTGCTACCTGGGCAGGTGGTATCTGGGCAGGTCGTATCTGGGCAGGTCGTCTCTGGGCAGGTTTCGGGTGCTAGTGCAAACGGCAGCAGCAAGACTCTACCACCGTCCCTCTGGCCTGCTTACCCTGCGTCCCCATCCTCCCCCTCTCCTGTGTCCCGCCCTTCCCAATCCCCTCCCCCTGTCCCTTCCGCCGCCCCTGCCCCTGCTCCTGCCCCTGCCCCTGCCCCTGCCCCTGCCCCTGCCCCTGCCCCTGCCCCTGCCCCTACTGTTGCCCCTACTCCTGCCCCTCCTTCTGCCCCTGCCCTGGCCTTTGTCCCTGCCCCTCCTCCTGCCCCTTGCCCTGCTCCTGCCGCTTCCCCCGCCCTCTCCTGTGCTACTGTCACTGCTCCCACTTCTAATGGCGCTTCCTCAGTGGTCACAAGCGGTGTTTCAGCCAATCCTAAGATTCCTGCAGTTACAGGTGTGGAGAGCGGTGAAGGGAAAGACGAGAGCACTTCAGAGTCGACTCACAGGGAAGGAGAGAGCAGGGCGACGAGTGAGGGGCAGCAGGGGCCGGGCAGTGCAGGGAAAAAGCGAGTGCGGTTCAGAGCGGTGGGTGCAGAGGGGGATGAACCAGAGGAGGGTGGAGAGCACACAAGGGAAGACGATCAGGCCATGGGAGGTTCGCCCAGTGGTAACCAGCCAGGAGCTTGTAACCAGGCGAAAGGTGGTAACCAGGCGAGGGCGGGTTCGCCTGGGCGGGTGGGGGCTGGGCGGGGAGGGGCTGCCCCCCTGGGCTTGGCACAGCGCATATGCTGGGTGCCTGCTTCTGCCTCCAAAGCTGCTTCTGCTGATGATGGTGCTGATATGGGTGGGCAAAAGGAGGAGGGTGGGGTAGGGGATTTGACTCAGAAGCTGGACCAGACACCGGACCAGAATGTTGACTTGGGTCAACGGATTTGTCTGGAGAAGGGGAGTTGTGATGCTGCTGCTGAGCCTGCAACCACTGCACAGCGTACTGGTGGTGGTGCTGGCGCTGGGGAGAACAGCAGTGAGAAAGGGACGGTGGCAATAGCAGCAGAGGTGGGTGTCCCTGTTAGCCCCAGCGGCTATAGGAGCAACACCAGCGGTGATCGCAGCAGCAATGGCAGCAGCAGCGACGGTGGCTGCGGCAGCAATACCAGCAGTAGCAGCAGTGATGTTCCGAAGCTGCTGGTGCCGTGCCCCCCTGTCACCCCTCGAAACAGCTCTCCGCCTCCCATCAACCGGAGCAAGGCGGCAGGAGGGGCAGCAGCGGGAGCAGCAGCACGGGTAGCAGCAAAGGCAGTATGACTGCTAGGGGTATCACTGGTGGTACCATGGTCACAACTAGTGGTACTAGTGGTAACAGCTGTGGTGGTACTAGTGGTACAGTGGTCAAGATTGGTAACAATTGTGTTGCTGTCGAAAGCAGTGGTGGGAAGGAGGAGGCAAGAGGAGGGAAGGCCGTTGGTGGTGGGAGTTTGGATAGAAGCAACAGCGGCAGCAGCAGAGGTGGTAACCCTGTTACTGAGTTGAATCAGGGCTCGTTTGGAGCTGGAAATCTCGCTAAGGGAGGAGCTGACAGCAAGAGCAGTGCTGGTCAGCAATCAAAGGTCTGCCAACTCCCAGGCTCCTACCGCAAGCCTCGCACCGCTCCCAACCCCTTTGAACCCTCCCCCACCCCTTCCCCTTCCGCCAAATCCCCCCTTTCTGACAGCCCCTCCCCTGCGCCCAACGCCGCCCCTGGACCCCCTTCCCCCGCCCCTCCCCCCGTCCGCCCGCGCTCCCCCTCCGCCTCCGCCTCCTCCGCCCTCCTCGTGGCACTTTCCCCCCGAAGGTCCCCCGGGAGGGTGTGGGGGGGGATGGGGAGGAGAGGGTATGAGGTGGGAGGGCTGGAGGTGTGTGGGAGTGATGGGGACGAGGAGGATGGGGGGGGACAGGCGAGAACAGGTGCAGAGGAGTGGGAGAAGGAAGGGAGTGTGATTGGGGAGGGGAGTGTGGTGGGAGAGGGGAGTGTGATTGGAGAAGAGAGTGTGGTGGGGGAGGGGTGTGTTGTTGGGGAGGGGAGTGTGGTGGGAAGAGAGGAGAGGGTGGGGGTGGTATGTGAAAGGGTGGAAGCAGAGGGGAAGGCGCCAGTAGTTCGTGGAAGGGAAAGAGGAGGGGAGGATGTGAGTGGTTGGGAGGAGGGAGGTAGAGGGAAGGGTGAGGTGAGGGTAGCTTCAAGAATTGATGGAGGGAGGGTGATAGCAGGCGGAGTGGGTAAGATGGCGGAGGAAGGACAAAAGAAGGGGTATTTACCCAGAACGCCATCCCCGCCAGCAGGCCCAAAGCCGATCTCTTCTGGACGATGTGGGAGAGGTGGAGCAGTAACAGGCGCAGGAGCAGCAAGAGCAGGAGCAGCAAGAGCAGGAGCAGCAAGAGCAGGAGCAGCAAGAGCAGGAGCAGCAAGAGCAGGAGCAGCAAGAGCAGGAGCAGCAAGAGCAGGAGCAGCAAGAGCAGGAGCAGCAAGAGCAGGAGCAGCAAGAGCAGGAGCAGCAAGAGCAGGAGCAGCAAGAGCAGGAGCAGCAAGAGCAGGAGCAGCAAGAGCAGGAGCAGCAAGAGCAGGAGCAGCAAGAGCAGGAGCAGCAAGAGCAGGAGCAGCAAGAGCAGGAGCAGCAAGAGCAGGAGCAGCAAGAGCAGGAGCAGCAAGAGCAGGAGCAGCAAGAGCAGGAGCAGCAAGAGCAGGAGCAGCAAGAGCAGGAGCAGCAAGAGCAGGAGCAGCAAGAGCAGGAGCAGCAAGAGCAGGAGCAGCAAGAGCAGGAGCAGCAAGAGCAGGAGCAGCAAGAGCAGGAGCAGCAAGAGCAGGAGCAGCAAGAGCAGGAGCAGCAAGAGCAGGAGCAGCAAGAGCAGGAGCAGCAAGAGCAGGAGCAGCAAGAGCAGGAGCAGCAAGAGCAGGAGCAGCAAGAGCAGGAGCAGCAAGAGCAGGAGCAGCAAGAGCAGGAGCAGCAAGAGCAGGAGCAGCAAGAGCAGGAGCAGCAAGAGCAGGAGCAGCAAGAGCAGGAGCAGCAAGAGCAGGAGCAGCAAGAGCAGGAGCAGCAAGAGCAGGAGCAGCAAGAGCAGGAGCAGCAAGAGCAGGAGCAGCAAGAGCAGGAGCAGCAAGAGCAGGAGCAGCAAGAGCAGGAGCAGCAAGAGGAGGAGCAGCAAGAGCAGGAGCAGCAAGAGCAGGAGCAGCAAGAGCAGGAGCAGCAAGAGCAGGAGCAGCAAGAGCAGGAGCAGCAAGAGCAGGAGCAGCAAGAGCAGGAGCAGCAAGAGCAGGAGCAGCAAGAGCAGGAGCAGCAAGAGCAGGAGCAGCAAGAGCAGGAGCAGCAAGAGCAGGAGCAGCAGCAGCAGGGGGGGGCGGAGTGGGCACCGTGGGAAAGAGAACATGAAGAGCAGGAGCAGCAACACTGGAGAAGCTGCTGTTATGGGTCAAGAAGAGGGGTCTCGGCCCGGAGATGGGCTGGAGGGAGGAGACATGTCTAAGGGCGAAAGTGAATCAACAGGAGGGAGTGCATCAGAGGAAGGGAGTCCTCTAAAGGCAGGGATAGCACCAGAAGGAGCATTAGAAGGAGGGAGCTCACCAGGGGGTGGAAGCCCACGTGTTCCCTCTCCTCCCACTGGTCCCCGCCCCAAATCCCCCCTGGGGCAGCTGAACGCACGGAGGAAAGTGGCTCGCTCGCTCACAGTCGCGCTTAACAAGAGCTTGTCCCTGCCCTCGCCTAAGGAGAGTGGCAGTGCTGTTAGCAATACCGCCAACAGCAACACCACCACCACCACCACCACCAACAACATCGACAACACCAGCTGTAGCACCACTGCTGCCGCCACCACCAGTTGCAGCAGCATCCGGAGTGACGGCAGCAGGAACTCCCTCACTGCTGTCTCTGCAACCCAGTCAGTATCGGGCTCGGCAGGGAAGCAGCGGGTTGAACTGCCCCAGAAACAGGCAGTGCCCCTAGTGCCACCACGAAAGCCGGCGCCTCTGAACAGAGGCATCACAGGAAGACCAGCAGCAGCACCTGGTGTATCCGCTGCTGCTGGAAAAACGGCTACGTCACCTCGGAAACCCGCCGAGGCGTCTCAGAAGTCGCCTGGTGGCTGCACGAAAGCTGCCACGTCACCCCGGAGATGTGCTTTCGGGCGGTCGACAGCCGCCCCTCCTGTGCGGTCAAAGTCTGGCGGTTCTCCTGGCGAGCGGGCTTTGTCCCCTGCTGCGGGTAAGCGGGTGGCATCGTTTATCTCTGTCTGCTCTGCCAACTCTATTGGCTCAGTTGTGTCTCCTCGCCCCTCCTCAGCTGCAGCTGCTGCTAGTGCTTCTACTGGTGCTAATGATGCTGCAAGGAAGGTTGAGAGCGAGGGTGCATTCACGTACAGTATGGTTGATGATGGTCTGGTTACCAGCAGCAGCATCCGAAGCAGCGCAACCACCGCCAGCACATGCACGACCTGGAAGAGGACTGCCGTGGCTGTGGGGGAGGATTGTGCTGATGGTGCGGGTGGAGGTGCGAGGGATGACAGCAGCGTGGTGGGTCCAGCGAAAGACATGGAGGGAAGCAGGGTGGCCATCAGTGATGGAAGCGATATTCAGATGTGACAGCCACACTGCCATGTGAGTTCCTTTTAGTGTGATAGGTTTCTTTACACTTAGCCTTTGCCTTGTTCCGATTCATTTTCTCATGTCTTATATGTGTTTAATCTGCAGGAATGTGGCTCTGACAGCTGTTTCAATGAAGTTCGGCTCTTCCATCAATACTACTTTTTTGCTGTCTAAGCATCTTAGCTTACCCACTTGCACTAGTCTAGTTTCATATGTATTGGATAGCTTGGATATATATTAGTTTATAGCTTACCGTATACGTACTGTCTGTTATCTGACACACGAGTGTCTGGCAAATCTGTGAAAATGATGTCCCGATGAGGTCAGGACAAACCCAGATTATGAAATGCGCTCTAGGCTTGTTCCTCGAAGACATGGCGGTCTGGTGCGATGCGAGGATCCAAGACACGCGCCAGGAGGACGCAAAAGGGAAGTCCCTCGTCCGTCGAGAATCCATCGGCAAGCCTCGTCCATGCCTCGTTGCAGCATGCACAGCATGCCAGGCTTTTGCGAGATACTACCATTATGCGATGCGACGCGGGCTATCTCAGGCAGCTTTTTCAGTCATGACGGGCGGAATCTTGAGACTGTGTGTGATAAGTGCTGGCTCTGGTTTCCGTATACTACAGAAGCTTAGGAGGTTGTCTGCGTTCTTAGTCGTGCTAGAGTGCGGAAGCCTTTTCCCGTCAAGTGGACCACTAATCCCTCCTCCAGCATCAGTTGGATTTTATTCGCTGTTTCGAGCGAAGCGTTACTACGTGTCTGTCAGTGTGAGTCTCGCAACTCCCCGCGAGTCTATTTCGAGCAGGAAGTGCAAGGGCTCGCAAGTGAGAGGGTTTCCTGAGAGAAAAGCAGTTCACGTCGCAGCATGTCAGACATTCCTGAAGCTTCGCAGAAGATATATCGCAGCATCATGTCAGACGCTCCTCCAGGATCGTGTAGCGAGCTTGCCGTAGAACTCGCGCTCGAGCGGGTCTCGAGGGTGCGCGATCTCGTCAGGTGCGCAACTGTCAGCAAAGCTTGGGCCGACGCGGTTGCGCGAAGCGTTCTCCACGTGAGGGTGGACTGCACGAGCGGAGGTATATTCGGGCCTGCTTCCGTTTCCGACGGAACAGATGGTGACGGGGAGTGCAGTAACGAGTACAAAGGCGACGGGCTTACGTATAAGACTTTTCTTCGGGCAGTTAGAGTTTTCCGGCAGCTGGCGTCACTCACGGTTACCAGTTTCCACCAAGCGTTTGGCGACGCGTTTCTGGAAACCCTAGCCTCTTCGTGCCCTGTTCTCCAAGTCCTGGACCTCTCCTGCTTGTGCTATGGCGAAGGCGACGACGAGGTTACCAGCTGGGGGTTGAATTCTCTGTTCGTGGGATGTCCGCAGCTGAAACGGCTGTCTCTGCTACTCGGTCATGATGGTAACGCCCGCCACGTCAGCGCGAAGCATAAGATCTCTAAAGGACTGAGGGCTGCTTGTAGTGCGTCAGCGTGGAGCCGCCGACATGGCCATGCTGACGTGGCATGGAGCGAGTCTGCGCTCGTCATCCCCTCCTCGATTATGCAGCTGTCTTCTTTGGAAGCTCTGGAGATTCAAACGGACAGATATGTGGTTTTGGGACTGGATCATAATTACCATGATCAATCCAGAGGAAGACTTTGGCAGTGTGATTCAACCACAGCCATGATGATTGAGCATCTCAGCATCAGCTTTCCTGCAAATGCATCGCCACGCTGTCGACCTTTCCTGCCATCCTCAATCACTCAGCTGCAGCTGTCGTCATCGCATCACAGCATCCTTCCGAACAGCTCCTGTTGTCAGCTCAGTTATGGTTCCAGTTCCAATCATCGGCGCAATTCTCACTGCAATTCTCAATCCGACTTTCCAAACCAAGGTCAGACTGCTGCTCTTGGTTCAGTCCCCCCCAATAATCCCCAACCCACTGCAACCATCTCGTGGCCTGGACTCAAATCCTTGAAGCTCAGCGTTTGCTGCGACGTCATGTTTTCCAAGCTAGCATCGCTCTTCCATCAGGAGCTGACGTCACTGAGCCTGTCAGCCAATCATGCTACCAGGTGTGACATTTGGTGTCACGCTACTGGTTCCGTTACTCCCAGCGTTGCTTCAGCTGAAAGATCCGATGGATTTGGTGCTATTGGGGCTGCGAGCTGCAAGTTTGGTTCCCTGCCGTGCAGCAGTCTGGTGCTTCCAACCATATTAAGCATTTCAAGATTCCAAATTTCCCAGACAGAGACTGACACAGAACCACTTGTTTCCATGCACCCAGCTCCCACATTCGCCTTTCCTGCAACCCTCACCTCCTCATATTCGCGTCTCCGTTCACTGCACCTGGACCAATGCCCTGACACTGCCCTCCCTCCCTCCCTCCTCCCCTCTCTCACATGCCTTACTGCCCTCTCCTTCACCTATTGTCGCCATCTGAAAGCCCTGCCGCCGACCATCAGTCTCCTCTCGTGCCTCACATCCCTTCACATGCATGCTTGTCATGCTGTGGAATCCCTCCCCCCTGAAGCCCTCTGTCTGCCTGGACTCAGGTCCCTGAGTCTCACCAACTGCAGGAGATTAGAAAGTGTGGGCAAAGCCGTAGTGAACGCTGGTAACGTGGGAAAAAACGGTGGTGGCAGTGGTGATGATCGCTGCAATGGCCCTATTGCGATACAGGAGGTGGTTTTACGGGAGTGTGTTGGGTTGCGTTACGTCAACTGGGAGGCTTTATTCTGGAAGACACTGCCGGTCTCACCAAACGTGGCTATTGAGGTGAATGTTGAAGGGAGCTGCGAGTTGAGGGGCATGGATTATGTCATGCGTATGATGGGGAGCTCCAGTGGTAGCATCACTCTTCCAGATGGAGCCAAGTGGTATTCCCAGAGGAGAACAATGTGCAGAGGTCAATCTCCTCCAGAGATAGCGGGTCGTATGGATAGATGCGTCATAATGCAAATATAGCAAATGATGAAAGAAAGGCAATTATCTACTGCATTGAATCCAGAACTACCGTACACGTCTCTAAGAAGAAACTCTGCATTTGACATTCCCTTGTCAGAAAACTGAACGAGAATGAATGCATTGAACAGAAAGTTGGTACAAGTACTAACCCTAATTGGGTTGTACCCTTTATGGGCTACCCCACTATAGCCTACACAATGTAAGCACTACAACATTTTGACACACCCCCATAGGCAAAGTGGGGGAGAACAAGTGGTCACAAGACCAATAAAGAAAAGCAAACCAAACTCAGGGTGGATCACGAAGTCACCATACATTCTGAGCACAAGCAAATGGCCACAAAGCCAGTTCACATGCAAAGTTATATAAAAGAGAACAAACAGTACAGTGGTCATACCCCAGCAAGTGTAAGCATGCAGGTATATATATATATATATATATATATATATATATATATATATATATATATATATATATATATATATATATATATATCACAGTACAAGCAAAGTCAAGTAGTGAGCAAGTGAGGCAAAGTAGGCACAAGGCCTAAAATAGTACAGAAACGCTGATGATCACCAGACTGAAGTGCCTTGGTGAATATATCAGCAGTGTTGGCCCGAGTGGCCACGTAAGCAAGACGAAGCTGACCACGCTGCTGCAGCTCTCAAGCAAGGAAATAACGCAGAGCGATGTGCATCGTTCTGTGCTCTAGTCTATGCTCCTCACACAAGGCAATCATGGCCTTGTTGTCTACGTACAGAACTGGAGAAGAACGAGGCTGCTCTCCCAAGTCGGTCAGCAGGTAGGTGAGCCAGCGTAGCTCCTGTGCAGCCATGGTCCCTGCGTATATCTTAGCCTCACAATTGGAACTGAGAACAGAAGACGAGCGTGTAGACAGCCAGGAAACAGAGCAGGAGCCAAGGCTGAAAGTGTAACCCTGTGACGACCGCTGCGTAGCCAAATCGTCAACCCAAGAAGCGTCTGCGTGTACAGTGAGGACAACTGGACTCCGTCCTCCAAGCACGAGCCCCATGCCCGAAGTACTGCACAAGTAGCACAAAACCCTCTTAGCGGCCTCCCAGTGCTCTGGTCAGTGTCTCCCTGGCGCAACGTAGCGTGCCAGGATGCTAAGAGAGTAGGCAAGGTCGGGTCGAGTGCAGGTCATCACGTACATGAGGCAACCCACAAGCTCTGGATACGGGCCACTCGGCTCTACGGACTCGTCCGAAGGTGGAGCTGAGAGCGAGTGACCGGTAGGCAGTGGAGTGGACTGTGGCAAAGAGTACCGGAAGCCGAAGCGCTGAAGGACCTGGTGCACCATGTGTAACTGAGTCAGGGTAATGGTGCACTGTACTCTGTCTCGGGTGATCTGCAAACCAAGATAGCTGAGCAGCTCATCCAGGTCAGTGCATATGTGTCTCTTTTGCAGCTCCAACTTCACAAGGGCCAGTGCCTCAGTGTCAGCAGTGGCAAAGACGAGGTCGTCGACGTACACGAGGACGTAGAACGGCGGCAGCGACGTGTCAGTGCGCAGAAACAGCGACGGGTCAGCAGTCGAAGGAGCAAACCCAAGAGCCGCAAGCGTCATCCTCAGTGTGTCGTGCCACTCGCGAGGCGCCTGGCGGAGACCGTAGACTGGCCGCCGGAGGCTCCACTGGGTACCTGCAGGAAACGACCCAGTGATGCCAGGTGGGCGGCGCAGCCAGATCTCCTCGTGCAGACAGCCCTGTAAGAAGGCTGTGCTGAAGTCAAGAGAGTGCAGCTCGCAGTCACGCTGAGCGGCGACGTGCAGCAAAACCCGAAGAGTGGTCATCTTCGGGGTAGGGGAGAAGGTCTGGAAGAAGTAAACTCCTTGTCGCTGACTGAAGCGTCGTGCAACGTAATGAGCCTTGAAGACAGGCGGAGAACCTGGCGGCTGCTTCACCCTGAAAATCCACATGTCATCGACTATGTTCACCCCAGAAGGGGGAACTGCATCGACGTAGGTGCCTGTGGACTTCCATGATGCCATCTCTGTGTCCATGGCTATCTGCCA